AAGAAACATTTCTTTTAATGTGCTTTCGTTTTTACAAAGATGCCACCTAGTGGCTTTATGAAATCAGCACTCCAAAGTATTTCCCTTTGCTACTTCAGGCTAAAATGTATTTTGATATATATGAGTTAGAATAAAATATTAGAGAATAATTTAGAAAACCGAGGACCCAAAAAGTATGCTTTGGAAATTAAGCTAAGTGGTTATATTTGACTCATACCACCAAACTTTGTTAGGAGACTAAAAATACAGCTCCATAGTTCCTTTCCTGAAACCCTAAGGAACAAACATGTTTGAAATTCAGAATTTTTCAGATTTTTGAAAGGTAATATAGGCATATAACATATATTCTGTAACACCTTCAGTTGAGAATCAAACACATTAATACTGTGGCAAAATATATTCCTTTTCACATTAAAATGGGATAAAGTCCACAAATTACCTTATGTTAATTGAGGTCAGGTTTTACTTCCAAATGAGTTATGCAAAAACTTCTTTTTCAAACACTTTTGGAGTCTGGAATTTAAAAACAGAATTGTGGGACTGTTTTACTCTAAGAAAAGGAATCAACCCTTCAGTCACAGAAAAAGAGAGTAAAATAAAATAATATCCTGCTCTAAAATAGTAATATGTATCTTTAGAAATGTCTAAACATTTTAGTTGAGGAAGAAACCAACATAACATTTGAAGATCATGAGAAATCCCAAGAATCTCTGCAATGCTCCTCATTTACAGTCATATACAGAAAGATACTAATCCATCATAAATTACATTTAAGCATAGTACAAAAAATTAGCTAATGGAAGCTGAAAACCTATTACCAATACATAGATAGCAAGCTCAATTTGAGTCCTACCACACATTACTAAAAATAATTTTTAAATTTAGTTTTCTGTTTTTGTGTGATTTGCCATTCACCCTTCCCCTTACCCATTATGGAAGCATGTGTTAAAATGGCATCATCCTCAGTCCAGATGCCTTATGTGACTTTTAAGCACCACCAACTCTCACTAGACTCATAATATGAATAAGAAACAAACTTTTGTTAAGATATTGAGATTCAGGGGTGGCCTTTGCTAATTCACTATTTTTCTCAAAATTTTCCTTCACTAACTAAAGCTTTGGTTTATTAGCCCTAAATAAAGACTTTCCAATAAATTTCTCCAGTTTCCATCAATAATTTAAATCCCCTATCACATACCCACTTAGATTTCTAATGAATTCCATTCAAAATAAATCTCTTCATCCTCCTCTAAACCAAACTCCTATCTTCTCCTTTACTTTTTCTCACAAAGTATTACTATTACTGTAACACAGGCTGCAATCCCATTGAGTGTGGAGTTTTAAAGAAAATCCTGCCCCCAGATGCAAAGCAGAATGTTCATGGTACATTCAGTGATTTGCTGCTTTACTCCATTCCCCAGAACACACTTGCACAGGCTTATACAAAACTTGTTTGTATAACCATGGCAGCTGCAAGCAAAAAGAAAAGGCCAACGTTAGCCTGTATGTGGGAATTTTCTTCTACAGGACATTGTTGATTTTCTTCCTTTGAAAGAGAAAACCTAAGGGTAGCATCTGCCCTCCGGTGATTAAGAGGCTGAATATAGATGACTGGGGAAGTGGCATTCAAGTTCCAAAGTCTGCAGCAGAGAACATGGTAAGGAAGGTCCTGCAATACTGGAAGATCTTGGCTTCTGAAAATAGTGAAACTTCTCAGACTTCAAGGAAGAGTTCCTGGCTAAACGGAAGAACACAGACTACATGTACTACTGTCTTGACTGCCAAAAAGGAATTAGAAGAGCTGGCCCAGTAGGAAGGTCTATTTGAAAAGCCTGCTGAAGCATCACATAGAGACTTAACTTCTGAAGGCAACACACCAAGTCTTCCCATTGTAGCAGGTTCCAAAATCAGCCTCCTAAGGATCTTGATCTCCGTTTGACAGAAGAGTGCTTTCCATTTTATCTCTATCCTAATCCAATTCTGAAGAAAAGGTTGGGGCACATAGCTAGTAACATGTGGAGCTAAGTCTTGAACCTAGACAGTCTTGCTCCAGAACTCATGCTTCTAACCATTATATTATGGAGTAGAATGAAGAATGAAGGGACATAATGAAATCTGAGGCCTCGCAGGACGAGGGCTGACATTGCTGGCATTACATCCTTTCTATCCAGATGACACACTGCTTCTCCAGTCCAGCTTCTCCTGGTTTAGAAAGAATGGCAGCCCTTGGAGCTGAGCCTTATTCCAGCTGGTATGACATATGCTGCTTGCCCAGGAGACATGGTTTATATTTGAAATTATTAATTCCTTTCATTCTCAAAATCATTCCAATTGAATGAAAAATTATATAGTTACCTAGATATAAACTATTTTCGTCCTAAAGAAAAGAATGCCAGAAATCTGAATATTCCTTAGTCCACAGATGAGAAAGGGGACATCAAGGTAGCTGCTATTTTGTCAGCAAAGTACAAATTGATTCACTTCTTTTTCTTTTGAAGTATCTAGAGTATGGTGATTAACCTGAATGAAACATGAGCTCAGGGAGAATTGAAATGAGCCATTCTGATATGTACTCAAATTAGTCTAGAAGCCACTCAGCAACATTGGCGACCTTTACATAGAAGAAACTGAAAAGTTATCAGGAAAGCTTAACCTCGAAATTTATAGGAAGCAACCAGAAAACATGTGAAGGAGTAAAAACTTAGGTGTAAGGCTGTATGGGCAGTTGGAATGACAGCAAATGTAAAAGAAGTATGGACCACACAGCAATGCTTTTTCAGTACCTATCCCATTAATACCTGTGATCTCATATGAAGATTTTTGTACAAAATGAAATCCAGTTTACTACTTCTCTTCATATTTGTTCTTTATAAAGGTATTTTGTCAGAAAGTCAAGAAAGCAGGATCTAGGTTCTTTTGGTACAGCCCACACAGTGCAGGCAGGAGTGGTAGCATCCCAAGGAAATTCACAAATAATAATATAATGGTCAGAAGCATGATTTCTGGCACAAGACTGTCTAGGTTCAAGACTTAGCTCCACATGTTACTAGCTATGTGCCCCTGGGTATATTATTACACCATCCCATTGCCTCACTGTCTGCAGGGTCCCCACGGTGCACAGTGGCAGGGAAGCACTACTTAACATTGGATTCTGGTTTCCTTATCTGGAAAAATAGAGATAATTTGCAGGATCTCACTCTGAAGAGTTGTAGCACAAATTTAATGAGTGAAATTAGTCAAGTACTTAGTGCCAGGCAAACATTAACATTGGTATCATTATTATTACATTATTGCTATTACTACTATACTAATCTACAACTAGCATTTCTAATGCATACATCAATAAGGTCCCCTCCTTTAACAGCCACAGTAGCTCTGTTGGTGAAATATACAAGATACTCAAGAATTATGGGACAAGTCGTATGACAAAGCAAACAAATTATCTTTCTGTTTTTATATCCCCCAAAGACCTAAAAAAATGATTAGTTAGAAAATTAGCTTGAAAGCATCTATACAAAAATGCTTGAGGATTATGTATTTTGACCTCAATAAATGTTTACAACTGAAAAGGAAGATATAAATCATAAATTTTACCTCTCCATACGGAGAAGGAAATAGGCCATTGTAAGATGTTAACAACTTGCCTCCACTCAGTCACTGAGTTCATGATGGTGTTAGAGCCACAGAAATGAGAAGCCCTAGACTTCTGACTCCCCTTCTACAGCTTTTCCTCATTCCTCCACAGTAGTTTTCTCTTATAGTCTGACTGCTAAAAAGCAAATCGATCCACTTCATTTAATATTTATTTAGCATTCAATTCACAGCTAAGGGGAGAAATATATTGGAAAAAGAAAAATACAATTTTTTTCCTCATTCTGAAAATTCTGTAAGATTTCTGCTTTGCCACAGAGATAGCAAAACACACATATACATGCATACTTACACACAAAAAAACCAAAGCGATGCCTCTGAAGATAAAAACTACCAAATTTAAGTATTAAGAAAATATAGGGGGCTAGGAAGAAAAGGTGAGGACACCTGAGAAATGACTTTATTTTTGTTTAACCTTAAGCTTGCTAATTACTTCCTTCCTTGAACAACATATATCTTGTTTGATACCCAGCTACACTCATATTGGAAACTTTGTGAAAACTAGTGATTCTACTTTGAAGTTATAACCATACAACTAAGATGTTTTGAACATAAGTGTATCCATATGATGGATATAATCAGGAACTCTTAATGCCTCTTCTTTCACAGAAATTCTCCTGATGTAGTTTGGATGATGAAGAAAACCAAAGGCTAAGGGCCAGAAAGTTATTTCCTTAAATGAGACAAAAGGAAAATATTTTCCAACTACCACTGTAAATAATAAATCTTTTTCAAATACCAAATCAATTTCCTCAGCTACAGTTCTAATTTGATGGTTTTTACTTACTACTTCATTTCAAACAGTGACCTATAAAAATTTGCTTAAACAAAAATAATAATGAAGCAACTTTTCTGTTTTCAGAGCAAGAAAAATTAAATGTGTTGAAGATACCACTATAAATACTTCACCTTGCAAATATGGCCTCTGCACTGAAAATCTATAGGAATATTTCCAATTAACTTTCAAATCTTCCCACAACCTATTTAAAAAAAAAAATCATCTTTGAACTAATTTGAACGAATGCTTTACAAATCAAAACCTAGTTCACAATCCCTATTACCATAATCACCAATTTTAAAGTCTCCTAAATATGTTCTACATCAGTTTTCTGGATTATAAGATGTCAATAATATATTTTTATATAACAGCATCAAATTACATCAGTTTCCCATCAGCACACAAATCATTTAATGATGATTATATTGGCCATTTCCATTGGTTGGCAGGAGGCTCTTCTACTAAAGGATCCCATGGTTTCCATTGCATCATTTTTCTCGCCAGACTTAGTTCATGTTCAGCCTGTTAATAAAATTTTTTAGAAAGAGCATTTGATTATACTGTTAATAGATACTTATCATAGCTAATAACCAAAATGTAATTACTAGAGGTACTTTCATAAGAGTATCTAATAAGCTGTTCTACCATCTTATGTTGATTATTAATCAAATTACCTTAATTCTCATAGCTACACAATCATCAGGAGTAAGGAAGGATGGCTTCTGATTACTTCTGTTTGATTAAACTGTGCTATGAGAGTGTTCATGGTGAGTTTTCAATCTTAACTGCCTATTTCACCATTAGACTACAAATTCAGGATCAGAAGTATGTCTCTTCGTCTATGTCAATAGTTTTTAAAACTTATTTTACCATGTCTCTCAGATTAAAAATACATTTTACTATGGGATTCACAATTGACACATAACTAAAACAAAACTAAAAATTTACTAGCTATGAAACACTCTATTTTCTACTGTATCTTTTTAAATGCTAGTTGTATCCCACCTAGCAGATTTCATGATCCATAATCACTTGAGACCCAGTTTGTAAAACAGTGGTCTATAGAATGCATGAGAGTATTTATTGAAAATATATGTAGGAAAACATTGATTGGATTAGTTTCCTTCATCAGATTGTATTATATATATAATTTTTTCTTCCAAACACAATTTATATGTAACACATTTAACGAATATATTTTAGATGTCTTTTTATTTCACATTTTTTCTACAACAAAAAGACTTACTATAACTCTGGTCAACTTAGAACACTGTTGAAAACTTGTCACAATGTCAGGGAAGAACTTCAGACAGAATAAGTGCTTAGACTCTATTAAAGGCTATAATTCTACAGTTGAAAAATAATGCCTCACTTATGCCAGTGGTGCAAACAGCCAATCCTATGTATAGCAGCAACAGCCTCAAATGTACACAAACAATGAGTTAGAGGTAACTAGTGGAAATCTGAAGGGGAGAGGTATTTAATAACACTGAAAGAGAAAATACAGTAAATGTTGTCTTAAAATATCCCTAAGATGGCTTTTTCCCTGGATGCCCTTTGGCCTGGGTCTCTTGAACATTCATGCTTTCTCTATTCCCCCAAGGCACTGTGCAGTATGGGGAGGTTCCCTAGTCTAGAACATCACTGAGGTCAGCCTGTTTCACAAAGCTGGACTCAGGTGCATATGGCACCTGTTGCCTAACTCCCTCCCTCTTCTCCAGCTTCTAACACTATCCTTTCCTCATTCATCTCATACTATCACCCTTGAAATGGGCTGTCCAAAATGGTAGCCACTACCTACATGTGACCACTAACTGAAAACTTGAAATACAGCTAGTTCAAATTCAGATATACTGCCAACGACTCAGTATTTTTAAAAATGTAAAATATCTCAATTTTTTATATTGACTATATGTTTCAATGCTATTTTATTTTATTGTTATTATTTTTACTCTTGACAAACAGCAACCTTTACTGTAAAATGATTTTATGTTTGTTTCTTTTGCTTGGCTTTGTTTTTTGTTCATTTGTTTCAATGCTATTTTAGATATCTGGGTGAAATAAAACATTAAAATTCATTTAACTCTGATACTGTCCATGAAAATGTGGAGAAATGCACAGCTGACTTAAAAATACTTAAACAACCCTAAATCTGTAATTGCATCACAAATTAATTTACCAACTAAACTAAAGTCATGATTGAAGTGAAATTTGGTAGGAGGAGAAAGTGGAACAGGAAGAGGACAATAAGTTTGCAGCAAATTTCTGTAACACTCTATTTAGTACCATAGTCATCCTGGCAAATGAATAGAAAGGTGAGGAAAACAGGCCTTTATATGAGACTGAAAAGGTGTACATCATAGCAATCTGTCTGAATGCCCTATCCCTCTTTTTTAACTTATCTAGCCATCAAGTAATTCTTTTTTTAATTTGTATATCATGTCTGTTGGTGATATAACTCCCTAGTCTCTAATACTACCCTATATTTTCTTTTACTTGTCCTTTGATAAAAGGCAAGAAAACTTAACAAGAAGTGGTTACTTTCCTAAAAATATGAAAAAATGTAAAAATTAAATGAAACAAAATTGAATATCAGATCTTTATAAGAAGCAGATATCTAAATATATAATATAGGGTCAGGGGATCAAAAGAGGGATGGGGAGAGAAGACACCAGGTGATTCGAGCAAATAAAAATTTCAAAAACTTCTACATATGGGATTCGGTTAAGTCCAAAGACAACAAACAAGACTAAAAAAAAACAATTAAGTTTAATATTTTTTTATTTTAAAATATGCTCAAAGAAATGTAAAAGAACAGTAAAAACAAATAAAGAGAAAAATATTAAGGATATAATTTATAAAACATGAAACACAAGAACTTATTTTAAAAGTTAAACTTTACAAGTAATTGAGGGAAAAAATGCATAATAATAAAAAGCATCATTTCCCCTGACTTAATTAAAATTATAACATTTGTGACCAGCACAGATGTGTTAATCCAACAGTCCAACAGGAAAATAAAATTAATTTTAATTTTATCAAAAGTTCTGTATTTTTCGGAACTAAAAATATCCTAAGCCTTTAAAGCTTAAAATTATTTGTATCTAAAAAGACAGAATTATTCAAATAAAAATAATATTTTATTATTAATTTGAATTAAGGTTAAGGCTAATAATACACTGATTAAATTTTAAAAGTACCACACTCTATACTTCCAGTAGAAACCTCATAAACTCAAATTACAATCAAAGAAAAATATTTAACTGACATACACGTTACAAGTATTTTCTGTATGTGATAGTCTCATATTTGATGAGTTGATACCAATAAAGAAACTTGGTTGTCCTTTCTGGGATGTCAGTTTTGTGGCTATATACATTGTGCCTATGAATATTTGAAGCTAAATATCTAAATATTCAACTTTTTCTTTACCTGAAGGATCACCTCTTCTATTTGGCCACCCTGAAGTTTGTCTTCTAATTTTTTAACATCTGGTTCCTATAATTTAAGGGAAAAAAAAAATTTAAACAAAGGAGCAGAATATCTGACTGTTTCAATATCCTAATTTAAAAAACCCATATATAAACAAGCACTTAATATAACAAACATAATTAATTTTTCTCTCATCATACCCTTACTAATTCTTACTAATATTTGGTAGAAACCCATTTCATCTGCTTACTATTTTATTGCTCTTCTGTCTTAATTTTAAAAACTGTTAAACATTTATTGATGTGCTTATCAAGGGTAAGAAATATGATGTCTACCTCAGTCCTTCTATAATACAGATTTTGAAATAGCACTTTGTTTTCTTATCATCCCCTATATTTCCTCTGAGAGCATTAGCATTAAAAAATGCTACCCATATGACCCAGAATTCTGTTCCTAAGTATAGACCAAAGAGAAATGCATAGTATATTAACCAAAAAGCATGTCCAAGAATGTTCACAGCAGCACAAACTATTGTGCCAAACTAGAAACAAGCTAAATGACCACATAATAGAATGAATGAATAAATTATAGTATTTGGATAAAATAGTTACTATACAGCAATGAGAATGAACAAAATACAACTTTATATAGTAACACAGATGATTCTCTCAAACATAAGTAAAAGCAACCAGACACAAAAAAGTACACACTGATGATTCCATTTATAAAAAGTTCAAAACCAGGCAAAATGAATCTGTAATGTTAGAGGTCAAAAGCATAGTTCTCTTTAGGAGGGTTTTAACTTGAAGAGTAACAAGAGAGGGTTGTGGCATTTTGAAAATGTCTTCACTTTTGATTTGGTGTAACATTTTTTATTACTTTGTATAAGTTCATCAAGCTGTATATTTATGATTTCTGCACATTTCTTTAGGTACATTATTCTTCAATAAAAGGTTTAGAGACACTAATATAATACCTAAAACATTCAATGACATTACTTATTTCTTAATAGACTGAGTTTTTTGAGAGTCAGAAACCATGTATATACACAAGCATAGATAAATAAGGTACAGATGGGAGTTTGGGGCCCACAAATGGAAAGGAGAAATGGTCAGATGCTTTTCTACAGGACTTGGCACACTTCTGCCTCAAAGCATCTGCTGGCTGACCCAGGATGTATGTATGATTTGTTCCTTCACTTGCATCCAGTCTTCATTCATATATCACCTTAGTGAGGACCATGTAGTAGGCTGAATAATGCCCTACAAGATGTACAAGAACTAATCCCTGAAACCTATGAATGTTACTTGAGATGGTAAATACTTTGTAGATGTGCTCAAGGATCCTGTGATGTGGGTATTAACCTAGCTAATCCAAGTGGGCCCTAAATACAATTACAGGTGCCCTTATAAGACAGAGGCAGAGGGAAATTACACACAGAAGAGGAGAAAGTATCTGACCACAGAGGCAGAGACTGGATTGATGAAACCCCAAGCCAAGGAATGCCAAAAGCCACCACAATGGAAATAGATTCTATCCTAGAGCCTCCACAAGGAGTACAGTTCTGCCAACAAACTGAATTGAGCCCAATACTGATTTTAGACCTTTGGCTTGCATAAATGTAAGAGAATAAATTTCTATTATTTTAGGCCTCCAAATTTACAGTAATTTATTATAGCAGCCATAGGACACTAATACATATTGTAACATCCCTCATCACCCTGGTATACACCAATCTTCATTTTGTACTTTTCCTTCACTGCACTACCTTCTACATAAAATGTAATGTATGTCTTTACTCACTTACTTATTAATTTCTTTCTTTGTCTCCCATCATTAATGTGTAATCTCCAAGAAGGCAGGGATTTTTATCCATTTTGTTCACTACCACATAGGCACTAGCTTCCATGCCTAGAATCATACATGGCAAATAACAGGAATTTAGTAAGTGTTTCTTGAATAAATAAAAAGTAATTGAAAAAGGAGGCGGAAAAAAGGCAGATGAACATGTTGGAGAAAGATTGTTTAACTCACAATTAACTGAGCTATGAAGTCAAAAATCACAAACAAAACAGAGAAACTGGTCACTTATTAGAACCCAGGAGGGTGTAGGTAAAGAAGGCAAGGGATGTTCAACAATGTTTTCAACTCAGGAAAAGCCTGTGTTAGGACAAAAACTCAGTATTTGTCTTACTGAAAGTGAGTCAATGTGAGTTAAGACTCACATAATTGTGAAAATGAGTCAATAATGTGAAGGTGAATCAATAATGTCTTATATTTACCAATGGCAGAATGCCATTAAACTTAATAAGGTACTGTATACTGAATGTTCACTATGTGCTTGCAACTGTATTAAGTACAGTACATATATTACCTGATTCACTCCTAACAATAGGTATTGTTATAGTTATACTCAAAGTAGATATTCTTTTTTTTTTATGTGTGTACCCTTTACTTAATTCAGTAAAACAGATGAGGTCAAACTAGATACTCCTCTCTACACTGATTTTGTTTTTTTCCCTGTGTATTAAAGATCTTTCTACAATGGCACGTAAGAAGATCCCCAATCTTTTGAAAGGCTGGAAAGAACCCCACTGTATGGCCATGCTTTAACTAACTTAGCCTTTTTTGCACAGAGAAAATTCTTACATGTATGTGACCAAGAGTATCTATAGTACAAATTCTTAGAGGTTAAATTGCTGAATAAAGTAATCTGCAAATATTTAATTTTAAGTGAGGTGGCCAAATTGACATTTTATACATATGGAGAGAGAGAGAATGAGAATTAGCTATCTGCCCTGTGTGTTGCATATAAAATTGTCATACTCATAATTTTTTTATTTACTTTATTATCATTAATCTATAGTTACATGAAGAAAATTATGTTCACTAGACTTCCCCCCTTCACCAAGTCCCCCCCCACCAAACCTCATTACACTCACTGTCCATCAGCATAGTAAGATGCTGCAGAATCACCACTTATCTTCTCTGTGTTGCACATCCCTCCCTATGCCCCCATTCACATTGTACATGCTAATTGTAAGCCCCCCTTTCTTTTTCCCCACCTTTATCCCTCCCTTCCCACCCATCCTCCCGAGTCCCTTTCCCTTTGGTAACTGTTAGTCCATTCTTGGGTTCTATGATTCTGCTGCTGTTTTGTTCCTTCAGTTTTTCTTTGTTCTTATACTCCACAAATGAGTGAAATCATTTGGTACTTGTCTTTCTCCACATGGCTTATTTCACTGAGCATAATACCCTCTAGGTCCATCCATGTCCTTGCAAATGGTAGGATTTGTTTTCTTCTTATGGCCGAATAATATTCCATTGTGAATATGTACCACATCTTCTTTATCCATTCATCTACTGATGGAAACTTAGGTTGCTTCCATTTCTTGGCTATTGTAAATAGTGCTGCGATAAACATAGGGGTGCATCTGTCTTTTTCAAACTGGACTACTGCATTCTTAGGGTAAATTCCTAGAAGTGGAATTCCTGGGTCAAATGGTATTTCTACTTTGAGCATTTTTAGGAACCTCCATAATGCTTTCCACAATTGTTGAACTAATTTACATTCCCACCAGCAGTGTAGGAGGGTTTCCCTTTCTCCACAACCTCGCCAGCATTTGTTGTTGT